TTACAGCGATATTTTGAGACTGTTCGCCTGAAACACCAATCATTGCAACTAATATGCTAAGAGTGTGCCGTAGTTGGATCACATGACGTGGACACCAACATGACTAGTCAGGAAATGAGAATTCCTATCAATCCAGAAAACATAACAAAATTTTATTAAAACTTGCTGACAAAAAATTTACCGAACGCAATTTCAACCAACATGCCGGATAAGTCCAGCTGGACCACTCATATCAGGCGTACGGCTTGTCTACTGTAATACCTCTTTTTTCCTGACCTATTATTAATTACTTAGCAAATAATAAATTAAAACCGTCTGCTGATATCGCTGGACTACCTGAATTTCCATCCATCATAATGTGCAATCTCTTCCACAATTAACATTTTCAGTTATGCAAGTATATCCATTAATCACCACGTGAACTAGAGGACATTTTTAGTAAGATTTTAACAAAATTCCGTGCAGTCTTTCAAAATGTACCGATAGAAGACAAGGGCTAGGCAACAGATAGTTTATTGAGAAAATCAAGAGATATTTATAGATTTTTATTTACATTATTATTCGTTATTGTTAGCAGAGAAGCAACGTCTTCTGATTGCTTGTTTTCTTGCTGAAGATTATTCTGTACTGCTTGTGACCGTTTCTCAGAAAGTTGAGCCATGTATCTGCGAATCCTACTTGCACACGTTTAATCTGCTGTGATTGGTTGGTGAGTTCTTCAAGGTTAAGCTTTGTTATTGTATTTTTCATGTTCCTTATTCGGGACGTAAAACTGATGTAAATTGCTGTCTACAATTTTTGGTTTGCAGCGAGGTCTCATTGTAAGCGTATTTAGAGATAATGTGGTATGGAATTTGGTTTTTCTTACATGAAACAACCCTATGTCACAGGATACTCTGCTGTTTACTATAAGATGAGGAAATATTTTGCTAATAAATACGCCCCTTAACTCCCGTATTATACGTTAACATACTGTCTGAAATAAAGCCTTATTAATATTCTTGTGATGATTTCATTGGCTTTACCGAGATGTGCTTATGTTCGAGATGTAATGTCACTTAAGTAATACAATGCTACAGTGTACAACCATGCTCATTGATGAAGTGGATCCAGTCTACTCAATACTTTATATGAAGTATTTCGTTTGTTCTGGAGGGTATCGACTAAATGGATAAAAAGTAATAATGGATACAAAAGTCTAATTATTTACAGTCAACTTGGCAAAAACACGTACAGGTGGATAACCCAGTGGTTAACTGACTGAAAAACGTCCCTAAACTAAGTGTCCGATCCAGAGGTCAGGATGACGCTGGCGTCCTACTGGCCTCTCGGAAACCTTGACTGTCCTAGTGACACACCGAGTACCCCGCAACAACTGCTGGGGCATTGTCCAGGATAACATGGCTCATGAGTATTGCCACAGCTGAGCCGAAATTTTTGAAGATACTTCATTTCCTTTTGGTTAAACCTCCGTTCTCAGCTGCATTCCATAACCTGCCTACTAAATCGTCCCTATGGTTGTCACAGAATATCTGAATAAAGCAGTAAGACAAGACTTTCGAATAAGTCAACTTGTCTTTCATCCTGATTATTTTAATTTTCCAAAGGGTTCCGAGTGGAACACGGGGCCTTGACGGGACACTCCGACTCCCTCATATTCTTCGAGACCCTCAATAGTTGATCCCACAACTGCCCACAGTCTCTAATATCCTTTCACACAATCTTCATGTCACTGCAGTACCTCCAACTCATTTTTCTTTCAGGTTCCACTCAGGGCCCTCGCGCGCGATGTCATTTTACGGTCTTCATAGGGTATATCCAATCCATCTCCATTTTATCCGGGTATTTATTGAGCAGTGTGTTCTTGGTTAGTTGTTTCCCAGGGCTTCTTGTTGCCAATCTTTCTGGCCGTTTGATATCCAAAATGGAGTGAAGGAGGCCGCTGATAAAAGTCTGTAGTGGGCTGTTGTGATTGCTTTTCGTGACAATCCAAGTTTCTGACTCGTATAGAAAAGATGGCTGACATAACATTGGTGTTGAAAATCCAAGTTCTGGTATTTATGCTGAGTGTAGAAGATTTCCAGACTAACTTCACACTGACGAAGGTCTGCATTTAGCACAC